ATCCCAGTCTTCATCCCATGCTGAAAACATTTAAAACTTACCCCAGGCTAGCTGAAGATTCTTCAGAACTGACAGTTGCCAGAGTTGGGAATTAGCACTGTGCAAGAAAGGAGAGAGAGAGGAGAGCAATGGTGGCTTGACGTGTCCCAGGATGGGACTGTCACATGCTAATCACTGGTTGGAAACGCAAGCTTAACAAATGCCTTCTAATTATGTAATCTTCAGGTCACATCCTTGCATCCCCATACCAAAATCAGGACTGTGCACTTGGAAGAAGACGATACTGACTTCTTTCCTTTTTAATTAGATTTGCACACTGCTGCAAAGGGAGGGTGAGGAATCTTGTGAAGTGACAGGCAGAGGGGGCTGTGTGGTTTCTGCTATTTCACTGAGCTCAGAGACTCTTAAATACCTCCTATAGCACCCAAGCAAGACAGCCTGCAGCTGGGGACAGGGAGACAGGACCAGCTCCTCCCCACCTTCTCTGACACCCTCAGTCTTGCACCATGCATGGCCTCACTAGGGATACCAGAGCCAAGAGGGCTTCCCTTCTTTCATTCCAGGTCTGACAGCAAGGTTGCCAAAGTAGCCAGGGCAGAGGAGCAGCAACCACCACCACTTCTGCATTTTCTGTTGTTAGATCATGAAAAATTTCCTTTGAGTAAAAATAAAGAAGAACTTGAAGGGAGATGGAAGAGTGGGAGGCAGCAGTCCTCCATACCAGCTCCATTTCCTCACTAACATCCTGCAAGACATTTTGCTTCGAAGAGCATCAAGAAAGCAAGTAACTCAAGCCCAGAGATGCCAGGAAAAGGTTTGAGCAGTCCAGTGGGTTACCCTGAAGCCTAAGAGCAGAGAGACATCAAGGAGGAGAAATAGTAGTAAAAGGCTAAAATAAAAGAAATTAGTAAAAGAAATTAGCCTAATTTCTTCCTGAAAGACAAAGATCTGCTTCAAATACAGCCTTCAGGCAGAAAACCTGCAACGTAAAACCACACAGCCTCCTTCAGTATAGCTGCTGTGCAGCACAGATACATGTGGTGATGTGGAGTCCTAGCAAAGGAGCTGAAAGGACAGGCTCATAGATGAGCAGAAGCTCTGTGGAAGATGCTACTACCTCTGAAGTCAAGGACTAGGGACAGAGGACATTGGTTTTTTTGTTGTTTGGGGTTGTTTGTTTGTTGTTTTGGAGCTGGCTGTTTCAGGAGGAAAACCCAGCAAAATTGAACATAATAAATAATTCTGAAGGACTTTGCTGGAAAGTCAAAGATGCCTGTGAATTCAACAAACAGCTCAAGCTAGAAGAGATTTATTTTTTTTTTAAATAATAATAAAAAGAAAAACCTTTGGTTTCACAAATCTATGAACAAAACATTTAAAATAGAGATTTTTCCTACAGACGGCTTTGAGAAAAAGGGCTGAAAGGTGTTATATTGAAAAATTATCCATGAGGTGCTTTGTTTCAGATGGCCCAGTATGTTTCATTCTACTGATAATAGGTTGTTTTTTCATTTTGCTAAGAAACCACAGGGCCCAAGATTTCTCCAGATCCCAAAAAAATGAGTTGAGCATTTGAAGGCACACCTGAAGGAAAAGCAGCTGTACATTTTGTCTGCAAATGGAGGCGAGGACAAATATTTACAAAAACTCCATTAAATATCTGGCCATCAAAGACTCAACACACCTTTTTTTTCCTGCCAGCACTGGCATGTTGTAGCTATTTGTTTTGTTGTTGTTTTTCTGTTGTTGTTTTTTTAACTAAAAAGCAGTTTTTCTGCTTGTAAAGTGAAGTGTTCAGATTCGTAGTGCACAGACTTTTGTTGACCAAATGCAAACAAAAATAGAAATAGATTTTTCAGTGCATTAGACTTTCTGATGGTGCATTGGAAGCAACCAGTCTCCTCTGTGTGCTCTCCTGTCTACTTCCCTTCCCTGAGAAAAGCAGCTTTGGTGTATGGTAGAGGTCTGTCCTTGAGCAGTCTGGTACCAGAGCCTGGGGTTTATGGGCTTGACCTGAGAGGAGTAACTGCCATGCTACAGCTACCCTTGCTGTCTGCTTTGACTCCACTATGCAACACCTGCCTTAGGGTAAACACGATCATATGAGCACTGTTTGCAAAAGCTTCTGTGGGTGGAGAGGTTTGTTTTCTGGGGAAAGTTACAAAAGCTGAGCATAAATTAGGCTTCATTAGTTGCTAATGAGTTTTTTTGAAACCCAGGGAGAAAGGTATTCCTAGGGCAAGTTAAAATACAAAAAGAATTCTAGTCATCAACTGTTCCACTTATAAAGTCACCCTATCCAACTTAATTTTTTTTAAGTTTTCATTTAGGAGACTTCAGCTGATTTGGTCTGAAAACAAAAATAATTTTCTTCGCTGTTGTCATGCATCCTTAGGGATTTTTTTAAATAAATACATGATGAAATCAATGCCTGTTGAAAACTGGTCATAGCTGTTGATCCCAGAATGCAATCAGATCCAAAATGGATAAAAAAATACCAGAACTGTGCCAAACAGCTAAATTTTCAACTTCTGCCTCATTCCCACTGCTGCTGAGCCATGAAATAATGCCACTCCATTCCATTTTAATCTATAGTCTCCTTCACCTTCCATCCTGTAATGACAGAAATCCAGTCTGTTCAGAATGCCATCAGTTTCTGGCAGCATGGTGATGTGTGTGCTATGTAGATAAGCAAATTGCCAGGAATCAGAACCTTACTAGTGTAAGCACCTGCCTTAACTTTCTCCCACTTTTTAGCCTGTAACTACAAAACACAAAGGTTAGATATTCAATAAAGATATTCCTTTATTTGCACTAATATTTATACTAATGCCCTCCCCTGAAAAACTTAATAGTCCCATTCATGATTTGAACTTACCAGGAATTAAGTCCTATCAAGTTTATCCCGACTTTAATCAGGAGCATCTTAAGGATGTGTAAGTGTATCCAGCTAGTCACCGTGTAATCTTCTTGCTGTACAAATCCATCCTCTCTGTCTCACTATTTTGCTATATGCTGCTATGGCAAAATGCTAAGATTTAGAGCCACTTGCAGGAAAAAAGTAACTGCTGTGCCCTCATAAACCACGTTTCTCCTGATCTTTGAAAGCCGTGATCATTATACCTGAAAACTGCTTTAACAAGGAAATGTATATTCATCAGCATCCCTTGCAAATGAGGGAGAAATACATTTTTAAATCAACTACTGGATATTTGTTTCCCTTCAAAAATAAAACCACCTAGCAACCACAGCAAGCTGTTATGGTTCTGCCTATGTATGTTCTCTCATGAAAGCCACAGTGATCTGGGGAACTGACACTTCATATGAGCACATGGAAATTAGCAACATGGCAGCAAAAGACAGGAGTTCTGGAGCAGATTGTAACATGCCACTGTAACAGAGGTGGAACTTAACCCAGTCTGTTCTAAGGCATTGAAATAAATATATTTCATTTTTCCCCAAACATTTGAGTTTGTCGTACAGGTTCCCATTTTGTATCCAAGTACATTCTGTAATGTAGATTTCCTTCTGTATCTGATCATTTAAAAATAGAATTGGCCATCATTCTAGTGCTATTGTGGCAATGATTTTTGGTCAGCAGGGCAAGACAGAGTTGTTGTTTTTTCTTATGAAAGATCACATATTAACACACATACATTTTAGATTTATTTCAGATACTAGACTGAGGAGGTACTTAGATAAAAAATAAACCTAAATCATACCTAGCAAATTTGACAGAGAATTCATTTAAGAAGCATAAATAAGAATGTTCTCATGTCATTTTTTACAGCTACCTTTCTCATTAAATCTGCTTTGTGGATTATGAAGTGGGTATTGACTTCTTGCTTTAGGAAAAGATGGTATCTTGGCAATTCAAAATCCACAGCCTTATTCAAAATAAATTAACTTAGCTGACGTTTATGAGTGGCACTAAAATATTTTATTCTGAGCTATGAAAATAAACCTCCACATTTTCCCATCTCTTTGAAATTTATACTTTACCTCAAAAAAGAAGTAGACACAAACTTTGCCAACTACCAGCCCGAATCAGCACTGTCTTTCTGCAGGTATCTGTAGGCAGACAGCTTGAAACAACAGCTCTGAAAGAGGACTCACCTTCTCTGTTTCTGTGAACTGTGCCTGATCCCAGACACTGGGTAACAAAAAGTAAGTAGGTTGAAAACTTCTTGAAATACAACAGCATCCTGACAACTTCTGACTAGGAGTCAATCACAGACTTCAGAAACCTACTCCCATGTTGGGTGAAGTTGATGTGCACTTTACAGCTTATAAAATAAAAACTAATAGAAAAGACCACATGACTCTTCCACTTCAAACTTACTTGTTTTATTTCAGTGGTCCAACGTGTTGGAAAATAACTCAGAAATGTAGAATGATGTGGTTATTTTGTGTAAGATGCACTCTGTATATATATACAAGTTCAAATTGCAGTTGGGGTGCACACAATTAGTACCACAGCACTGAACAAGGACATCCTGCAATAACCAGGCCTTGAAGAAGCAATTAATCAAGAGGTTTCAAAGATGTTTTGTGTACATCACCAACTTGGTAAGAGGATTCAAGATCTATTGGACCTAAGGAATGTGGGATCTGATAAAAAGAACAAAAATCAAGGAAAGATTGACTAGTGATCCAGTCTTGGGCAGCTGGAGTTAGAGAATTTGAGATATTGTGTCCTTTTTGTGAACTTAGCTCATTATAATCCTAAAAATCATACCCCCAGGTCAAAAAGACCCCTACTCAGGTGAAGACCCTTCCCCTGAGTTTGGGTTATAGCAGAAATAGTGGTGTCACCGTATTATAATTGTATGTAAATCGTTAACCAATCACTATAGGGAGGATGGACTTGGAAGCTTGCTAACGTTACAGTTTTGTGTATAAACATGTCATGAAAAATCTCCTTTGTTGTGCTTGATTTGTGGGAAGGCACCAAGCACCCAGCTTTGCACAAACCTGCAACTAGTAACAACGTCTCCTTTCTAAAGGCAGTCCCTTTGCATTTTAGGAGCTATCTTTAAATGGTAACTAATGTATTTTACTCCAATTGGAAATGTGTAGGTTCCAACCCCATGAAAAATGTTGCCTTTGAATTCACCTTCATAAACTGTCCTAGAAGGATATTCCAGCCTTCTAGCCTTTGATCTGCATTTAATGAGTGATGAAGGATAAAGAAACTGGTTCATGTTTATGCTTAGAGCATTTTTTCCTTTCATTACAATATCCTTTCAGATTGCTGCCTGAGTCTGCTATCATATTCAGATATTATAATGAAGAGGAAAGTGACTGTTTCAGATGTAGGCAGGTTCCTGCTTCTACAAGGATTTAATGTAAGAGCTTAGAAGTTTTTCAGCCAGCCACAGTGTCCAGTAAACCCCTCCTCTGCTGGTAATCTCACAGGATTTTAACAATCTATGTAGCATGAAACTGCTGTCCCCAGCCCTGCAAATAACTCATCTACCTGGACAGGCTGAGTCATTAACTAATTTTTCCAGAATTCCTTTCTGTGGATCAAGGCAGATAATTTGTTCAGCCAACGCTACTAAGCCATGCCAAGGGGATTTAAGTCTGTGCTGTAAATCACTTCTGCGACATAATCTTAGTTTTTGTTATTGCACCAATATTTTTGCAAGACACTAAATAAAAGAGGCCAGAGTAGATCTCATAAAGTCACTGGTCTCATTTCAAAGACTCTCTCCAGCATCAACAAAATAAGCAGTTTTCCTGTACTTACTAATTAATTCCTGGGGAAGTCAGTAACCAAGGGCAGCCAAACAATGGTGTGTTTGTCAGTGGCCAGAGCTCCCCTGTTTGGTTGTGGGATGTGTGTGTGGTGTATAAACATGTGCAGAAGGGCCAAGTCTCACCCACTAGGAATGCACAGCTCATTCATGCCATGCTGAGCACCACCAGGGACACATTACTGGGTGTTTCACTAGCACCTGCCTGCCAGAATGACCAGTGTATTTGCAGGAGCCTCAGGAGTCAGCAAGACATCTGAAGACGCCAAGTGTCTCGAATCTTCAGACTGGGCTGTCACAAGATTCCCAGGTGGAAGAAGAACCTGCAGCATTGGTCTGATCCTTCTCAGGTTATGACTTTCCTTTCTGTGTCTTTTTAAGGGTAGATATAGTGAGACACACTCCATTCCAAACCCAGAGAATGTTTAAAATGAAGGAATACTTTAAATTACCTTGCCATTTTTCCAGCTGCCAACATGGGTAGTTCTGTTGATGCTGATGTAGATTCCATGACCATTCCTCTCAAGCTCACCCTCAGGTATCCTTCTGGATTCCCCATGTAGGAAACGATAAGTGGTAGAGGACAGGTATTTTAGCTTCAAGACAGAGAGCATCTGAGAGACAAAAACCTATGGGATGGTGCAATGTATTTCTTCCGTTGAAGGACACAACTCCTCCCAGAGCTGACACTCCACCTCCTGTGGACAGGCTTCTCCCAGAGATGCATCCTTGGAGCACACAAGCCCCACGGCACTAGATGCCTTTGGGTGCCGCGCAGGGAGTGTGAGCCACCCACAGTCCTGCTGCCTTGGGCAACAGCCCCTTTCTGCTGGGAAGCTTTTTTTTTTTGCTTTAAACTGCAGCTTGGCACAGGTTGCCTGGAGGAGTTGGGGAGTCTTTATCCATGGGGATATCCAAGATCCAAAGGGATGCAGCCCTCGTGGCTGACTCTGCACGTGCAGGAGGCCTGGGGATCTCCAGAGGAGCTTTCCCACCTCAGGTCTACAGCTCCGGGGTCCCTCGTCACTTTACAGACACCTGAAAACAGCGCAGGTTTCCCCTGTTTTAATTCTACAGGAGCTCACGCCCGCAAAGACTCTCTCCCCATTCCTGCCTCCGATTGGGAATACGGACAGGCTCTTGGCAAGCGCCAGCGGGAAGCGGTTGCCAGGCGGAAGTGCCCGCGGTTGCTAAGGAAGCTGGCGGCCCGGAAGAGGAAGGCGGGCGCTT